CAGTTCAAGTGCGCATTAAACTCTTCTGATGAACTCCGCACCAGCACAGAAGGCGGTCTCTGGTTCTCTGGATATCCTGAGGGCGGGTCTCACCGACGAGTCTGTCCACCTCATCCTTGCTAGTAAGTTACAAGTAGAATAGATTATGCGAAAGCAGAAATGGCTCGTACCGAAACATTGCCGGTAGAGGTGACTTCACTGAGCAGTCTTGATTTTCAGCCGTAAAGCCAAGTGAACGGTTTTAGTCTAAATTGGCGTCCCAACGATCCAATGACCATCCTGCAGGATGAACGAAAAAGTGGGTTCAATCGCACGTTATCTGCTCACCTCGATTAAGGCTCACAAACGTTCCTCTCCGTGAGGGCTTTAAACCGGGGTTGTAGGGCACAATGCGAATGAGGCGTCTCTACATACATAGAAAAGTCCGCTAAAGGGGGCCGAACGCACCTCAAACAGAACTCAATTGCACAAAACCGAATGGTAAGAGAACCTGGGAAATATCAACACACTGGCAGAGAACATTCACACCAAACTGGAGAACCATGCGGCACCGTAGCACCTGATTTCGGACCCCATGGGATTTTCGCAGAGTTAAGCTAAAATGGCTTCCGACCACAACGTCCGTGTGTGAAGTAGCCAGGCCTTTAGCTTCATCATACTAAATGCAACACCACCAAATCGGCAGTCGACAGTGTGTGCAAGACCACGTTAGGACATAGTGCACAATTTACCGGTGTATGTCTGGAGCAATAACGGAGTGATCCACTCCTCACTCGAGAGTTATTTGGCTAGACCACTTGTCTGTGGTATACGAACACCCCAGCTTTGTGGGGAAACATAAAACTGGCCGGTTATACTCTTAAAAGGATGTTCTCTAACAAAAATAACAAAATAACAAGGTCTTACTAAGACGTACATTAAATGTGCAGTTCCTTTTTGACAACCAACTCTGTAGACAAATAGACGGCGTTGCCATGGGCTCGCCTCTTGGACCTCTCTTAGCCGACGTCTTCATGGGCAAGCTGGAGAGATTTCGACTAAGCAATCAGATCAAAAAGCTTAAACATTATGGTCGCCACGTTGATGATATCTTTGCGATTGCAACCACAGAAACAGACGTCCCTGCCCTCCTAAATGTTGCAAATCAGGCACATCCGTCGATCAAATTCACGGTGGAGATGGAATCGGTGGGTTCGCTTCCCTTCTTAGATGTCCTTCTAAACAGGAGATCTGACGGTAGCATCCGAAGGAGCGTCCATCGGAAGAAAACCTGGTCTGGACAATACACGAACTTCGCTAGTTTCCTACGTCTCCAACAAAAACGAAATCTAGTCAGATGTTTGGCACAAAGGGCTAGAAAAATTTGTTCAACAGATAGCATCGAGGAGGAACTTAGAAAAATCCAGGACTTGCTTCGCGAAAACAGGTACCCTGACAGGTTCATTGCAAAGAACTTTGCCGAACAACCCGCAAAACCCACCACACTGACCGGCGAAAAGAAAACCTTGTTCCTCAAAGTCCCCTTCCAAGGAGACGCTGCAAGTGAACCACTAAGAATACGCCTTGACAAAGCTGTCTCGGGAACCTTCCCGGCAGCAAGGGTTCACATATCATTCTCCACTAACCCTATTTTACGCGGAGAAGGCAAGGATAGGCTGCCACCTCAGACCGCCTCCATGTGCATCTACTCACTCACTTGCTCCAGTGGAGCAGGTTATATTGGTCGTACGAGTCGGCGCCTTTCCAAAAGAATACGAGAGCACCTTCCCGCATGGCTGGCAAAGGTAGAAACTAGGAGAATAGACAGCGCCATCCTTGCGCATTCAGTGGATTCAAGGGATCGTGTGGACCACGCTGAATCATTTCGTGTGATTTACAAGGTCCCCTCGAGCTATCCTAAGCTACTGGGCCAGCGCCTGTTAGCAACAGCGGAAGCGGCGGCCATCAGGTTACGAAAACCGACCCAATGCGCCCAAAAGAACCTTGTTCAGGCTTCGCGCTTACCGTGGTCAAAGGTTGACTAACCACACACAACTTTCTGCGCCCTTCTGCTCTTGCCCAGCCTGGAATTTAAAAACTAACTTTCGTCGATTTTTTCACCCATTGTACCCCGTCCTATGTAACTGTATTGGCCTGACGAGAAGTTACCGAAAGGAACGTTCGCTCGCCACTGTCTCTTCTGAAAATAATAATTAGTTGTGTCTGAAATATCTCATCAGTATTCAATAAATAATGGTCAAAATCCTAGAAGAAGCCGTACACACCTTTTGGTCACTTAATAATTCCACCAGCAGTTAGTTTTAGAACTTCCAGTTAAAGATCTCGGAACCATTCTTCCCGAAAACGGCAATCGTACTGCACAAAGTAACTCTCCTTCAAAATAGCGGAATTACCGGCATTTTGGCGAAAGCAGACTGCTGTTTGGCGAAACGAAGCCAATATAAATAAACAGACTCTCTTCCACCGTAA